TCGTGCAAGTCAAGAAGATCTTGAGCCCTATGGCTACAGAACACGAGCTCCAGGGCCGTCGGGGCCACCGCCTCACCCACATATCTGGACACTGAGAGATGATTCGGTCGAAACAATAATAGCTTGTAGAGGATGCAGGGCCGCGAGTCGAGACGAGACAACATCGCGGCGCGCAGGGCGTTGGTTTGTGACCACCAGGCTCGACCATGCATCCACCTGCTTGTGATGTCGCTGTATGTGCGTAGACAGCTTCTTATGCGTAGTAAAGCTCGACAGGCACTCGGCGCCCTCGGTCGAACAGTGACGCGTCCAGGGGCCACCTTCCACCACCATGGGCCTCTGACTACCTGCGGATGATCTCTAGCGCGATGGACGTCCAAACCACGAAGCAACGACGCATCCAACTTCGCGAAATCCGAGCGAACCTCCAGATCGTCGAATAGCTTACCTATGCGCCAGCCGCCCTCCCGCACAGCTCCTGCATGAGCCACTCGGAGTCCTCCAGGACGTGCGAACTCTGGACATCCTCCAACACCCTCCGCGCCCATTGACTCGCCGACGGACTCAAGCACCCCGTGCAAAAAAACGGCCTCCTCCTCCCTAGCGGCAGCACCCCCAAAACAGCTGCCAACCACTGCTGGTGATTTTCAGGGCGCGAGGTACTCAGCTGGAGACGGTTTAAGCGACGAATTGTAAGCTCAGTCTCAACAGACGGAATTCTCCAGAAAGCGCGAACACGATCCGGCATCCAGGACGAATGCTGTTCACCCTCAACTCTATGAACCTGCCCCAGAAGCGCTTATCAGTGCAGCGAGTCCAGGGCCGAGCCAAGCTTCCTTAGTTGTGCATCCGTGGGGGAACGCCTCGAGGTCCTGAGCCGCCGCGCCCGCGACGACCCCAATCCGCATCGCCCTCTTGGGCCTGTGCGGGGCCCCCCCGAGGCGCGGGGGGCCGCCCGGGGCGTAGTGCGCGCGGTGGACGGCCGCCCTCCTAGCCCCCATCTTTCTCGAACAAACAACTCCAGGACGCCCCCGCGGCAAAGACCTGCGCCCCTAGGCATCGACCTGCTGGGGCCGCTTGTCCGGGATAAACAACCTCACGACGCTGGATTGTGCGATGGCCCGGATAAGCCCCCCCGCCCCCGCCCCCGCCGAGCTTGGCGTGACAATCTGCTTCTTGCTGTTTTGCATGCCGCCGTCCTCGAGCAAAGCGTCCGAAGGTAAAGGGGGGCGCAGTCCGCGTTGCGTGTGCCAGAGACTCAGCCCGATCCCCTGCGCGCCCAAGACGCTGCCGCTGCAGGTCATCAGCATGCTGAAAGAGAGAAAGATCCACGCGGCCAGGCAAGAGAAAAACAACTGGCACGCAGCTCCTCAGGACTCCAGTCCCAGGTCAGCCTCTCGACGTCGCCATGCAGCCGAGGCAGGTTGGAACGCCCAAGTCCACGCTGCCACCATGAACGGGTCGCCCATGAGGCCGCCAAATTGCGCGGCCTGAGAAGAAGATCAGCGTCGCCGCTGGAAACAGAAATGAGCGATTATCCCACTCTGTGCCGAGCCGCGCTTCGGACCGATCCATCGCGCAGAATATCAGCTGCCTCTAGCAGTTGGATCTGGTGAATACTACCAAAGGCGTTCGTCGCATTCAAGAACTGCTTGCCTAGGCTCCCGTCGCTCTCTCACGCCCGCCAAGCAGCGACCTTGCTGACGAGAAGGGGCGTCTCCTTACAACGCCCCTTCTGGTATCCATGCGCCGAGGGTTCCACGCGAATGCGCTTCGTCTGCGAGGCCAGCCAAGACTCGCCAATCTGCGGTAGAAGATAAATCCAGCGCTTGCTTTTCGGGCCTCCATCGCATGTCTTCGGCGACCCCGTTGTTCGACTACAATTCCGATATCTAGGACAGCGCCCAGCCGTGCGAATGCGTAGACCGCCAAGAAAAACAGCGCGCGGACAAATGCAAGGTGGGACGTCCCACCTCCCCAGCTCCATGCCCTCCTCGCTGCTGTCCAGGTCGTGCTCCCGCTCCGAGATTGAGTGCCCTGTCCCAGAGCTCGCCGGGCGCCGACCAGGCCAGCCCCGCCTTCCGCTTTGCCGTCCTTCTCGATGCACGGCTGAGCCTCTTCCTCCTGAGCCGTCCTTCTCGATCCTCCGTCGCTTCCTCCTGCGTGCTCACGTCCAGCAGTGGCCCCTCCACCTCAGGTGCAGCAGGCCGCGCCAACAGCCCGCGCGCCCGCGCGCCGCCGTTGCTGCCCTCCGCCCCCCAAAAGTTCATCTGCTCATTGCCAGTGGGCATGGCCGTCCGTAGCGCAACGTGATGCCTATGTTTTGGCCCCTCCCTACATCGGGCAACCAGTCGCGCATATCTAATACTCCATGCATGCCGCGTATCTTCCATGCCTCCTGCGTCTTCTCCGTGAAAGCCGCCCTCTTCGCCTGGCAATCCTCCGCGCCCATCTTCCTGAGCATCCTCGTGATCTCCTTGATCTTGGCCGATCGGGCGGCCTCCAGCTCGTCATCATCTGCCGTTCCTCTGAGCCGTTGTCGCGCCTCTCGCCTTTCCCGAAGCAGTCGACTACGCTCGTGCTCCGGCTCCCCCCGTCCTCTGACAACGCCTGCCTGCAAGAGACGCTTCGTCCCCGCCTGCCAGGGGGCCCGCTCCAGGTATTCAAAGAGCTGATCAGGGCAGGCCAGCTGCGCAAAATGCTGCCATTGCTGAGACCCCTGAATGACCCTGTCTACCTCATCAAGAACATCTCGATGCCTACAGCTGCCCCTCATCGCCGTCATCGGTGCATCCCTATCCAGTCTCTGGCCGCCCGTGAAGTCAGGAGGAGCAGGTCCTCGAACTTCTCCAGCCGCAAGCCCCTGAGGTCGTCGGAGCTGGACCATCACAGGTACGTGATCCTTCCCCCGTGCCGTCGATATCTGCAGGAGTCTACGAATCTTTCCAAGCAGCTCTCCACGCAATGTAGCCGCCGATGACGAGGCCTGAGGGATAGCAATATAGTCAACACTAAACTGACTGGCGTCTCCATAGAAAGCTGGTGTGGAGGACCTCATCGATACAGCCTCCATGTAGTGGGTCTCCATCACCTCTCGAACAACAAAAAACAACACCGACGTAGTGTTCCAGCGAGGCACCACTCGATGGTGCCGTAGTAGCCGTATCTCCAATCAAACGCATATCTCCCCCCTGTAAGTCCCAACGCGATCTCGCAGGACATCAAGCGAGCTCACCCTGAAGCCATCGTATGAGTTTGCCCACTGCCACTTTGTGCTGCGCTTGCTGCCTCACCTGGGTGACTCGAGGCGGAAAGTACATGCACATCAAGGTGGAATCCTCGCTCTTGCTCTGAATGCGTGTAGCTCAACATCGCCCAGCAATTTCAAATTGGTCTCCCCCTCACATTACGAACATGATGCTCCTTACATCTAGCACGCAAGAGAGCCGATATCCCACGACCAGCAGCCTTCCCCCAATGTAACGCCTTTGGACAATAATGTCACGTACACGAAGCTGTGTTCCAGCAAGAGCAACTGCACAGATATCCTTCGAGACTGCCTCGATCTCCCCCAGCCTCGGTCTTGTGGAAGCTGCTAGAGGGTTGAATTGCCAGGAACGCCAGAACGGACCTGCAGCCGCGTTGGCACTTCGCCACAGTACCATCAGTAGCAGCAGAACATGGCTGATGCCGAGAGCGGTCTCCATGACATCTGCATACTGAAGTCCAGTACAGAAAGAGTGACAGCCCGAATGCGCCTGTCGCTCAAGAAAACCTCGAGCCCATACGGCCACTGATGATGATGATGATGATGATGACGATGATGATGAGGAAAAGGATGAGGAGGACAAATAGGAGGACGAGGATGATGAGGAGGAGGAAGAAGAGGAATCAAATGAGGATGAGGATGAGGATGATGATGATGATGATGATGATGAGGAGGAGGAGGAGGAGGAGGAGGAGGAGGAGGAGGAGGAGGAATATGTCCCATCCAAAGAGCCCCCCCCGATGGGAGAGTGGGGACCCGCTGCTTCAGTTCAGTCAGGCAGTCTCCTCACCCCGAGATGGGATGGTGGAGAGGACGAGCAGGACGGTTCTGATGATGATGATGCGGAGGTGCAGGAGGAAAGAGAAGGAGGATGAGGAAGAGGCCTTGGCGGTTCATCTGTTTGCTGGGAAGATGGAGTCACAAAAGCCAGTGCTGGCATCACTGGGCCACCAATAGACCGCCAGAGTGACACATGCGATACATCAGGGGTGAGACAACGGAGGTGCAAAGCCTGCAATCGGATACCAAGACATCTCGTGACACGCATGCTGGTAAGTAGCCAGTACTTGTGCAACGTATGAGCAGCATTCGAACTAACAAGGGCTGGCCAAATAGGGTCAGCGTAGATTGGGTCGGAGGATCGCGCTGCGTCGGCGATGCGTAGGCGACGTCAGCGATACATCGGCGACGTCGGCGTGGAGAAAATCAGACTCCCCATGCGTGATCCATCGACCCCGTCTACTTCGACCGCATTTGAGAGGCCTGGAACTCAAGTGGACCGCCCCATCCTCGCCACCAACCGAACGTTGAGAAGCACCGCCCCTTTTCTGTCTCGTGCTTACGAGGAGGAGGAAGAGGAGGAGGAGGAGGAGGATGAGGAGGAGGAAGGAGGAGGAGGAGGAGGAGAAGGAAGAGGAGGAGGAGGAGGAGGAGGAGGAGGAGGAGGAGGAGGAGGAGGAGGAGTAGAATGATGAAACGGCCCTCGGACGCCCAAGAGGGAAACAATTGCTGCGGCTCCTGGCCAACATCTGTGGGATCCACGGCCCAAGGGCACGCCGGCGATGCAAAGACTCAAAACACAACCCTGGCAAACCACGGTGCTCGTTCTGTCGGCTTGGCTGCTGCGCCAGGGGGGGCGACGGGAGACTCGCTTGACACCATCAAGCTGCGGTCGATCAGTGTGTTGGCGGTCGAGGCCGATCGACGGAGCGGGCCCGGCTGAGATCACTGCTGATGGGATCCCACTGCTTGCAGTCCTCGCGCGTGGAGGAGCTAACAGAAAGAATGCAGCAGCTCGATGACAAGGCGCCACAATGGCACGCTCCTTTGAAACACGTCTAAATGCCCGCGTTTTCCAGCAACAGATCGGTTGAGATTTCGGGACTTCCACCACAACTGGACACCATGACGCCTGAGCCTTTGTCCATGGCACGCTGGCGAGTCCCTGATGCACACTCCGAAGGCTCGACTCGCCTCACGCGGCGACACACTTCATCATCTTAAACAAACAATGACGGAAATATAACCGAGAACTTTCCTGGTTACCTTGTAGCAGTACTGACTGGCGTGTGGCAAACATGCGACTACCAGCGAGACTTTATAGAATGTGGCGCTGGCGAGTGTGACCCTTACATGTTCAACCTCATGCATTTCACAGCTCAATTCTCTTGCACTCGACAGCTGCTCTGACCTCAATACCCTGCTCGTCCGCCCCAAAGTGCTAAGCACAATGACCTCTCAGATGCAGATGGATATCCGCCACCGTGCCGCTGGGCACGGAGTGGGCGTGTCCTCAGGTCCTTTGCCCTGGGCCTCACTCAGTCCTGTCCTGAAGCATGTTTTAGGAGCCTGGACGCCCAGTTCCGAAATCTCCTGGGGCTTCCCGCGTGCCCCTCTGGGCTTTGGGAAGTGGTGGCGCGTAAGTTCCTCGGGCCCCAGGAGGGCCCCAATAAGGGCCAACGGGGGCCCCAAGGGGCCCCCAAGACGGTCCAAGGGGGCCCCGAGTCGCCGAAAGGTCGCCCCAAGACGCGCAGCCTGGAATCCAGACTGCTCACGAGGCGCACAAGACGCCTCAAGAGACCTCCAAGATGCCTCCCAAGAGGGCCTCAATATGGCCCCAATCAGCAGACAGCATTGGGTTTCCCATACCTTTTGGCGGATTTTGGCGTTCCCGCATTTTCGGCTTTCCGATGCTCTAAGACGGCCCCAGAGGCCCTCCAAACGACCTCAAAACGGCCAAAGAGGCTCCCAAGACGGTCCAAGAAGGGTTCAAGGCGCCGGGAGGCGACGAAGACGGCCCAAGGGGGCCCCAAGACGGCCCCAAGAGGGGCCCAAGAGAGGGAACACGAACCGACACATCGAGTTTTACACCCCAAGAGGCCCCCAGGAGGCCCCAAGAGGCGCCCCGGAGGCCCCAGGAGGCCCCCATGAAGCCCAGCGAGAGAGAGAGGTCCCCAAGAGGCCCCCCAAAGGCCACAAGCAGCCCCGAAACGGCTCTTGAGAGGCCTCCAAACTGCCTCCAAGAGACCCCCAAGAGGCCTCCCACGAGATCCCAACGAACATCAAAATAGGCTTCATGCCCACAACCCAGGCACGGTGGTGGGATTGGCCGAAGGCCACCATATATACACATGTGTACATATATACGCGCGTGTGTGCGCTATGTACATGTAGAGAACTATGCATATCTACCTGTACGACCACCCTTTGGGTGGTACGGAGGTTTGGGGGAAGGAAAGCCCACTAACAACATCTGCGATGAGTGTGTTGGCGAGGAGATGGCGACATTGCACAATGTCGCTCAGGGTGAAACTGAATCAGGGTGATTGTAATGAAGGCGCACAACCACGATGGAGATCACACCACATACATGTGACCTCGCAGTCGATTCAAACCTGCTGATCTCACTACTGGTTGAATAATCGGTCTGGTTGAATAATCGGTCTCATTATCGATCTCAGTATCGATATTACAACCAATCTCACTATCGATCGGACATTCGGTCTCACAATCTGTCTCACCTTCGATCTCACGATCGGCATTTCAACAGATCTCACGAAACATCTCACAGCGAGTGTTGTTCAGTACGATGGGGACACCAGCGGAGCAAGATCGGGACATCATCGGAACACTATCGATCGCACTGTCGATCTCACACCAGATCTCCGATCCTCCTATCGATCGCACTGTCGATTTCACACCAGATCCCCATATCGATCACAACGAATTTCGCAATCGATCTCACCATCGATCTCACTATCGCTCTCGATATCGATCGCACCACCGATCTCACTACCGATCCCTGTGTCGATGTCAAGAGAGATGTCTCTATCGACCTCACAAGAGATTTCACGAGACACCATCGGGGCACCACGATGGGGCACCCCCAGCCACGGCGGGGCTAATCTCACTATCGATCGATCTCCCGATCACGATCGATCACGGAATTGATTTCACTTTCGATCTCACAACTGATGTCACGAGCTGCCGTCGAGACACCACGGCGGAATGCCCGGAGTCATCGTCGGGACACCCCGCGCCACCGACGGGGCACCCTGCGCCACCGATGGGGTAACCCCGCGCCACCGACGGAGCACCTCGCCACCGACGGGGCATCCCGCGCCACCGACGGAGCACCCCCGCGCCACCGACGGGACACTCCGGGGCACCGCGCGCCAGGGGGGGAGGGGGGGGTGGGCGGACAACGGGCTCCACAGCCCCTAGCCACGGCGGCATGATTCCTCTCGCGCGCCCACGCAGCTTCGCCTCGCCCACACGCACGACACGAACACGAAACCGAAACTGATTCCCTGGTGGGGGGCTCTCCGTTCCACTGCGATCTCACTCCCCAACTTCCGATAGAGAAGTCTAAGCGTTTCGCAATCGCCTCCGAGAGAGGAGTCTACGCGTTGCGTTTCGCAATCGCTGCACGTCATCGCTGGCATGGCTCACAAGGCAAACCAAATATGGTCACTTTGAGGTCCAGGCTGAGATCACGACCGATGAATTCTCAGAAGCAAAGGGAAGCAATCCCTGAAGAAGATCTCCATTGGCACGTCCTTCCCTTTCCCTGTCTTCAGCCTGACCTTGGGGACTCCGTCTCTGTAGGCTTTCTCGATCATCACCTGAGCACGGTCTGGCAGGGAAGCGGGCGAGGAAATAGGCATGCCGATCTTTACAACCACTGCTAGGAAACATCACTATTGCCGATTGCCGTCGTCTTGCCATCGGGCATCGCCCTACGGCAGGCTCGTGTCGTGCCGACTTCGGCGTTGGCTTCTTACACCGCGGGGGTAGTTCAACCTCGAAAGATCGGCCGATTGCGCAACGTCATATCGATCGACCCATTCTGGGTCGCCAGCTGGTCGACGCAACGCGAGTAGCGCCATTGCAGATAGGGGAGACATATTCAGACGATGATTCAGGGATCTACTGACACGGGTCAATCCAGACCTGGGTCAGTCAGACTCCTGCAAGATCGTGCAGGATCCTGCAGGATCCTGCGCCCAAGCCCGGGTCAATGCAACCCTGGCCCTGCAGAATCCTGCAACATCCGGCGCTCTGACTGACCCCCGTTTGCATTGACCCCCGTCTTTTGAGCCCCGAATGATTAGGTGCCAACTTGCGACCGGCTCGTGTACAATGGGGGCCCGACCACAAGAAACCTTCCACAAGAGACCCAACCGTGAGACCCAAGGACATCCATGGCTTCTGGTGTGGGAGCGTCGCGACTCCCACAGCAAGACCATCGCAGCCCAGGAAACCCAGGGCACCCCGGAGGCAAGCGGGGTGCTTCTTGGCATGGGCCTCCACTGCAGGCGCCAGCTTGCGACGGGCTCGTGTACGAGCGAGGGGGGCGGAGGGCGTGCCGGCAGAGGGAGCGGGAAGCAGGGACCTCCGTCCGGCCCCGGACGGGTCTTATGTATTTTCATTATGGTAATAATAATAATGATTATTATCATCATTATTATTCTGATTATTATGATTATTGTTATTGTGATTGATATTCGTATATAAAAATATATACAAAGACCGCAATATTCAAGAACCACCGTCGTAACGCGAGTGCCGGTTGCACTTGAAAGCCGTTCTCTTCCTCACCGACTGTGTGGAAACGGACGCAGGAAACGGCGGCGCTGCTCCCCTTGAGGCGGCGCTGCTCCCCGCGCGCGAACCCGCAGAGACAAATGAGCATCTCGGATGCGGGGGGCAACCGATCGGCACCCACCAGACGAGAGAGAGGGAGAGAGAGGGGATGGGATGGGAGGTCGCCAACTGTACACCTGCACCGACCCTGGCATGGTCCGTCCTGGGCTTCGGATCGGTGTATACGGCCTCCTGGCTTGGACAGGAAGGCGCATGCACCGATTCTGGGTCCAGGTTTGGCCTGGCCAAAGTCTGTGTAGGTGTGTATCGTCGGTCCTCTCTGGAGAGCGAGGTAGAGGTCGATATATAGGGATAGACAGAGAGAGAGAGAGAGAGAGAGAGACAGAGAGAAATATCGATACATATATATATATATATATGTGTGTGCAAGCATACCTGTATTTTTTTATATATATATATATATAAATGTAGAGATATGCATACACAGCTATAAGTGTGTGTATATATATATATATGCATGTCTATCAAATGTACAAGACTGCATTGGCGCTTCGCGCCATGCACCTTGGTCCTTGCAGTTTGGTATGCAGGCGGAAGGGCAGAAAAAGGTAACATCGAACAATTAGCGATAACTCCTTGTTGCCTTTTTCCGACGTCGTCGCTTCCTTCCCGCATGTTTCCTCTTCCTCCTCCCCATTCTCGCCTCAGAACCATTCCCCATCCTCATCAGCTCTTTCGGCGGATTGAAGAGCCTCCTGGGGGCCTCCTGGGGGCCTCTTCTAGAGGCCTCCTGGGTCCTTTTGGGGGCTTCTGAAGGCTTCCTCGGGTCACCCTGCGTCCAACCGCGAACTCCCTGAACGACAGGGTCACGATTTGGAATGCTTCGGGGGCGTCTTGGGGCCATCTTGGGCCGTCATGGGGCTCTCTTCGGGCCATCTTGGGGTCTTGTTGGGTCGCCTCGGGTCTCTCTTGGACTGCCTGGAAGCCCTTTTGGGGAATGTTGGGGCGATTTTTGGGCCTCCTGGTCGATCTCGGACGCCTGGAAGAAGACCGAAGAACATACAAATCCTAAATCATACTAAAACCAGCGGGAAATCGATATCTTCTTGTGTTTCGAAAGCCTTTTAGGGGACTTCTTTCGGTCGTCTTCGGGCGTTTGGTGGGTGCCTGGGGCCTCTTGCGGGGCCGTTCGGCCGCCCTTCTGACCGATGTGGGCCCACTCGCCAGGCCCAACGGGGGCTTGCAAGAGCTCCGGAAAGCCAGGGGGACCTTCTGCAAGTATGTCCAAGGGTCCCTGGGGGTACTGTTTTTTTTTGGGGGGGTCCCACCACCCCGGATTGTAAAAATATAGGAAAGGGCATATGGTCATTCCCCACATGATCATACATGCAGGCTCCGACGCTTCATCCTCGGTCTCCTCTTGCGCCTCCTCCCCCCCTTCTCTGTTTCTGCCTGCACCTCCTCCTCATCCTCCTCGCCGTCCGTCTGCTTTGAAAGGATGAAGAGTAAGAGGAGGTATAGGCGTGGCCTTTTAAAACAATAGTGCTTATCAGGTTTCCCCGACCCTGCAACTCTTTTTTTCCCGTACAGGGCATAGGCCCAAGGTTCTCTTTTTGTTTGTTTACCCCCGGTTTTGACTTGAGGTGGGCCGGCGAATTTCTTTTGCGATAACTATCGAGGTCGAGGTGGGCCGGCGAATTCAAATTTGAGGATGTCTAGAGCGAAACGCTTGTTTTTTCAGAAGTTGTTGAGGATGTCTCGAGCGAAACGCTTGTTTTGTGTTATAGATTGTCCTCTCCTGGGGACCAGAATTCAGAGGTCTCTCAAGTGAAATTCTTGTTTTCATGTGCCCAGGTCTTGAGGATGTCTCGAGCGAGACGCCTGGTTTCACGCCTCCAGGTTGCTCAGGCAGAGGTCTAGCGCAAGGATTTGTTGAGGATGTCTCGAGCGAGACGCTTGGTCTCACGCGTCCTCGTCGCCCAGGCGGATGTCTAGCATGAGGATGTGTTGAGGAAGTCTCGATCGAGATGCTTGTTTGCACGTGTTCAGGTTGCCCAGGCGGATGCCCAGCATGAGGATGTGTTGAGAATGTCTTGAGAGATACGCTTGTTTTCACGTGTCCAGGTCGCCCAGGCGGATGTCTAACATGAAGATGTGTTGAGGATGTACCGAGCGAGACGTTTGCTTTCGCGTGTACAGGTCGCCCAGGCGGATGTCTAGAATGAGGAGGTGTTGAAAACATCTCGAGCGAAACGCTTGTTTTCACGTGCCCAGGTCACCCAGGCGGACGTCTCACATGCAGATGTATTGAGGATGTCTTGAGCGATCCACTTGTTTTCACGTGTCCAGTTCGCCCAGGCGGATGTCTAGCATGATAATGTGTTAAGGATGTGTTGAGCCAAACGCTTGTTTTCATGTCAGGCGGATGTCTAACATGAGGATTTTGGCGGGATGTCTCGAGCGAAACGCTTGTCCCAAGCACGTTCCGTAGCGCGTCCCCTTGGCACGTCCCTACGTCTCATGGCACGTCCCATGGCACTTCCCCTGGCACGTCACTTGGCGCGTCCCTTGGGACGTTCCGCGGCGCGTCCTCCTGGCATGTCCCCTTGTCAATTAGCTCTGGGGCAGCTACTATGTGCTCAGGCAGCTCAAGCTCAAGATCCAGATCAGTTCGGTCACGACTCGAATGCAAAGGAGGACTCGATCCACAACGCTATAGAGCACAATCTCGGCATGACATATCGCAAATCAGCAAGGCGTAGCACAGCACAGCCCTCGGAACGGTACATTAAGACTGATACACTCAGCATTGCAACCTGGCATGTTTCTTGGCACGATCCGTGGCGCGTCCCGTGGCGAGTCCCCCTGGTACGTCGCGCGGCGCGTCCCCTGTCACGTCCCGTGGCATTTCCATTGGCACGTTCCGTAGCGCGTTTCCTTGGCACGTCCCGCGGTGCGTCCCCATGGCACGTCCCTTGGCACGTCGCTTTGGCGCGTCCCCTGGGACGTTTCGCGGCGCGTCCTCCTGGCATGTTCCCCCTGTCAATTGGCTCTTGGGCAGCTACTATGTGCTCAGGCAGCTCGAGCTTAAGATCCAGATCAGTTCGGTCACGACTCGGATGCAAAGGAGGACTTGATCCACAACGCTATGGAGCACAATCTCGGCATGACACATCGCAATTTAGCACGGCGCAGCTCAGCACAGCCCTCGGCAGGGTATAGCAAGATCGATCAACTCATCATTACATTTACCCGTCGCCCAATCAAGTGTCTTTGAAAACGGTGCCATGCGTTGCATGGCTATATTCCTTTCTGGGTTCGTGGGTCGTTCCTGTTTTTTTTGTTTTCGTTGTTTCTACATTTAGAAAAAGTGCGGAGGCCCAGGGTTCTCTTTCAGCTGTTTCCCCCTGGCGTCGACTTGAGATGGGTGAGCGAATTTAATCTGCGATGAAAAACGAGCCCGAGGTGGGCCGGCGAAGTAACATTTGGGGATGTCCCGAGTGACACGCGGGCTTTTGAAATTCCGAACGATAGAATCTAAAGTAAAGTAAGCAGTTTCGTTTGTTGCGGATGTCTCGAACGAAACGCTTGGTTTGCATAGTTTGTCGAGGATGTCTCGAGCGAAGCGTTTGTTTTGTGCTATAGATCGTTCCTCTCCCGGGGACCAGAGTTCAGAGGATGTCTCAGGTGAAATGCTCGTTTCCACGTGCCCAAGTTTTGAGGATGTCTCGAGTCAGACGCTTGGTTTCACACCGTCAGGTTGTCCAGGCAGATGTCTAACATCTAGATGTGTTGAGGATGTCTCGAGCGAACCGTTTGTTTTCACGCGTTCAGGTCGTCCAGACAGATGTCTAGCAGGAGGATGTGTTGAGGATGTGTGTGTGTCTCTCTCTCTCTCTCTCTCGCTCGAGAGAGAGAGAGGCTTGTTTTCGCTTGTCCAGGTGGCCCAGGCGGATATCTAGCATGAGAATGCGTTGACGATGTGTTGAGAGAAACGTTTGTTTTCACGTGTCAGGGT